CTATCCAGACCAGGCCAGAGTCTTGGGGTCCATAAAGCTCTCTGACAACCTCAGCCACAACAACTCCCACAACAGCTGGCTTCCTCGGTGCCAGGTAGAGAAGAGGATGGTACTGGACGGGATGCAGCTACTCCAACCAGGGCTTCCTCTTTCCCTTAAACCCCAAGACAAAAGCTGGCAGCCTGTTGAAACCTGATGAACAGAGAGCCCACCAGGTAAAGCCTCAGGAGACACATCTCAGACACAGCCTACTCTTCGCCCCAACCCTGCAGTTTCCCCGATGGGTAAGAAGGGGCCAGGCTACAAAACATTCATCAGATGCCCACTACAGGAGTGGAGAGTGGGTCCCCTGTCCCCGAGGGCATCAAGCCTGTCCAGAGATCCCCTAAACAAGTGTCAGAGTGATGCTACAGAGACAAGAGGGGCTCTGGTCATTTTCAGCAGTCTCAGTGGATCCATCCATCCATCTATCCATCCATCCATCCATCCATCCATCCATCCATCCATCCATCCATCATGTTTAGCCAATGCACCAAGGCCACAAGACTGGCCCAGTGGAGAGAAAGAAGCCACTGAAGCCCATGAAACCACAGGGTCAAAGCTCCGGGAAACTGGTACTCTAACGTGGCTTCCCAGGGTCATTCACTGGAAGGTTCTGGAACTCTAAGTTTGTAAAGAAGAAGTGTCCTAGAAGTGAAAGATGTCTGACCATGGGTGACAAGGAAAAGAACTCAGTGGAGGGGGGTCCTAGGGAGGGCAGAGGCGCTCCAGTCAGGATGTGGGCAGGAGTCCGGTAAGGCTGGGCTTCTCCACAAAGCTGCGGGATCAGAAGTAGCCACACAGCCACACAGCGTGCTGATTTTTGGACCCAGGGGTGTCCCCACTTCCACCCCACCCCCCACCTCCCCAGGGATAAGTTCCCTGACTTCTCCATGCCTACACTTCCTAGGCGGCAAAAGAGGTTAATGACAATGACGACTGTATATTTTCATATGCGCAAAGCCTTGGAGAGCATGCAGACACAAAGCAAGCACTCTGTGTCGATCCAAGATGGGGTCCCAGTCAGAGCGTCGAAGGTTCTGAGTGAGAAAGCTGCTCAGATGTTAGTTTTGGGTTTGGGAGAGGCTAAGATTCTGAGATTCCACAATTAAATCATCTCATTATTTCCTAACAACCCCTGAGACTCCCAGGGGAAGATGACAGACCTCAGTGTAACTTCATCTCCTAGGCACTGCCGGGACACCGGGGGGCTGCCACCACACCTGGCCCCACAGCTGTTCCTCACCTCGGCTGAGGCCCCAGCCACACCTCACTGGAAGCTTCTTGAGTTGAGCTTAAGCCTGCGTAGAACTTAAACACGTTCCCCGGCAGACAGCGAGAAACACAAATAAACACACGGATGAGAAGGTTGCAGATGCCTGGAGCCACGAAAAAGAAAATAAGAAGGGGTTCATGTGACAGGGCGGAAGCTAGTCACAGCAAACGGACAGTAAAGGCCCCCTCGAGGAGGTGATGTTCAGTGGTGCCACCACTAGGCAAGGATGCCAGGCCAGGGAAGGTGCACGAAGCAGCTGGCATGGCCAGAGGTGCTAAGACAAGGGAGTGAGCAGGACAGCACAGGGCAAGAGCGGGGAAGCAGAGGTTGAAGAGCGAGCAAAGCTGGGAGCATGAAAGCCCCTGTAGGCCCATGGAGGAGTTTTGGTTCCTTGTTTATTTTTCTTCTAAATGTTCAGGAAACAGTATAACTCCCATCAGGGGGATAAAGAGACAGAATGACCAACCAGTCAGGGTCCCAGGACACTTGGTGTTCTGAAAACCCCCACTATGGTTTACAAGTCAAGGCAGGGCCTAGAAAAGTTAAATGACAACCCTGATGGGTCAATGCACACATGCAGAGACCCCCAGCACATGCCTGGCCAGGACCGGGGAGACTTCTAAGACACTGTTATTATCTCTACTCCTATCAGCGAGACCAAGCTTACAGGGGCTCAGACTGAAGCTCACAGACGAAAAGAGCATGCTCAGTGTCCCGAGACCCAAACGGGACTTCTTAGCACCCTGACCCATTGCGAAAAGGGTCGCTGAAACTCTTATTCTTGGGGGACACAATCCCTGGGGACTCACCTGAAGCCTTGGCTTTTCTCCCTTGCTGGCTTTAGAGTATTACAGGGCATCTCATATCTGTCCAACCTGGGCTGGGGGAGGAGGATGGATGGATGGATGATGGATGGATGGATGGATGGACAGACAAACGGACAGGGAGACTACTGGAATGACTACCTAATAAGCAAGGAGTGAACAGCAGAAGGATGAACGAATGGCCTAACATCAAATGAACGAATACACGAATGGAAAGGATAATGGGCACCAACCGGAGAGGGATGCAAGGACATGTTCGCTCAGGGAGGGGTCGGAGCTCGGCTAGCTGCAGACCCAGGCCACAGCGCACTCACGCACCAGCTTCCCACCTCCGACCGCTGGCCTCCATTCCCCAGGATCAACCCTGAGACCAACCCTATGTCTGCATCTGGTGTGGCCATTATTCTGCAGCCCCTGCATCAGCTTGCACCGCTCCATGGGGCCCAGTGGTTTCACCATCCCTCTGAGCAGTTCACAGAAGAAAGGAAACGGGAGACCAAGGCTCCAGTCCCAGCAGAGGCTTCCTCTCTCTGAGTCCAGATGACCTCCAAGGGCCTTTCCATCCCTGACATTCTTCGGGGTGGGGGTGAGCCTCCGGATTTTTACACAGCCACTGGGGTCAGCAGAAGAATTTCAGACTAAAAACTAGAAACTGGGAAAGGTCCTGCCCACAGCACCACCCACTTAGGAAAGGCCCACACAGGGAGTCTGCAGGCCTGAGTTAAAGTCCTCCTCTGGCACTGCCCGGCCTCTCCGTGCCTCAGTTTCTTAGATTTTAGAATGGGGATCAACTGTCCCGGCCTGAGCACCTGATCTCAAGCCCGACACAGCAACAACCACATGTGCCATCGTACAAACTGTCAAGTTCAACTTCCTGAAAGATTATGAGGATAGGGTCTGGGGGAAATGAAGGGGCCATACTGTCCTATTCCTGTTCAGTTCTGCCAGAAACAAAACATCCCGGTGTCAGAGCTCCAAAACAGAGAAGAGTAGCGGAAACCCGGCAGTGGATCCCGGCTGCAGCGCTCTTCTTACCGAGCAGTGTACTGTGACTCTCGGCCTCAGTTTCTCCATCTAAAAACCTCATTGGTTCAGAACCCCGTGACCCAGGCAAGCCTCACTCGGCAGCCTGACGTTCCCAGACCTTGTACCCCTGACTCTGTCCTTAGGGAGAGAGTTCACACAGCCTAGTGGAGCCAAGACACAGATCTAAAGGGAGACTTGAGTGTTTTCCCTCCAGGAAATGGGGGGAGGCGGTTAGATAAGCTCTGGGCATAGCACAGGATCCTCCCAAAAGGGGAAAAGACCCGGCTCAGATTATATAGGCCTGGTCCCAGATCACTCTGCTGCCGGCAGAGCCAGCGGGTTCTGACCTGTCCAGTCGGACACTTCAGAAACGCAACTGATGTCCAAACAGCAGACTTCAAAGTGGCAGGCGGGGTGACAGAAGGGGGCTAAGGACACAGCAGAGGCCAGGCAACCAGCTACTCCTGTGTGTATTGGGACCCGTAGGAGCTGCAGGCCTGTACCTGGCCAAAAACCCACCACCACAGACATTCATCCTCAGAAGTCATCTGTGGAGGCCAAGAAGGCCACCCATACCTGGAGAGGGTTCTTCAACTGCAACCAACCAGACTTGCCCCAAGAGGGGGCTACCAAAACTTCCTGTCCACCAAGGGGCTCTGGCCACCCATGAAGGGGTAAGCCTCCCTCCACCCCAAACACACATAACTCCTAAAGGATCCACACTGCTGGAGGGCAGAGTGGTGAGAGAGAAGGGTCATGCCGTCATGACAAGGATCTTAGCTCCAAACCCTGGGCCCAGTCTAAGCCCTAGTGCCAGCCACCTCCCCCAAATCTAGGGTTGTAGTATAGTTCCTTACAATGCCACTTTGATAGAGAGCCTAGTCCAGACGACTCCTCCCCAAAACTCTCACCTCAACCCTACACACACACACACACACACACACACACACACACTCCCCACCCCCACCCCCACCCACGCAGCTCTGGGGAAATCGGCAGTTAACTTTCCCCAAAAACCCTGCAAAGGCGGCTAGCTGGAGAAAGAAACAGAAATAGGCCTCCATAGCCTTTCATGGCATCTTACAGCCCCCGGGGGAAGAAAAAAAAATCTTTAAAAAAAAAGCAAGAAAAAGAAAAGAAAACTTTCAGAGTTAACTTTAAATTCCCAGCCCCCTCCCCCAAAATCACCCGGCAGCTTCTCTCCCCCTTATTTTTCCCTTTAAAGTGTAATTGTATTGTGTCTCACCTCCCCGAAAGGCTCCCGGCTCTCTCCAAAGAAAAGGAAAAAAGCCAACCCTTCGGGTGCCCCCTCTGCTTCCAGCCGCCTCTCCCACATTCTCAGACAGTTTTATTAAAATCTTCAGACAAAAGAAAAACAAAAATGGCAGCCTGGCTTATTTTTAAAACAGGACAGGGACGCCATATTCTGCAGATCTGCAAAAAAACGGAGAAAACCGGCACTGGCCGCTCCACCGGGCCGGCTGCAAAGTGCGCGAACCGCGCCGTTTGCAATCCGTTTATTTGCATTAAGCCCCATGAATCATTGTTTACCGGAGAATTGCAGCAGGTTTGAATAGCCCGGCTTAGGAAAACACACACGCACACACTCGGAGACTAGCCCCAGACACGCCGCGGGAGACGCTGCCTACCCCGCGCGCGCAGCCGCCACCGCGGCCGCCCCGGGCCCGGCCCGAGGCACCGGCGACCCCCGGGCCCTCGCAGCGCGGTCGCCCCGCGCTGACAGCGCTCGCACCGGCCCGGCCCCCGCCCCGCAACTCGGCGCAACTTTCCCGCGGGCGGGCCCGCTCCCCCGCGCGCCCCGGGCCCGCACGGACCTGGCAGTGCTGGCGGAGCTCCGGGATGTGGCCGCAGCCCCGAGCCCGGCGGCCCGAGCAGGGCCGGGCTGGGGGCTCCCGGCTCCGGCAGCGGCGCGCGGCTAGAGCTCGGTGCGGAGCGGCGCGCAAACCTTCCGGGTCGCCTGCTGTTCACTTCTGGGTTCTGCAGGCGCCGCGGCGGCGGCGGAGGCCGGGTGTGCAGCCGCGCGGCCCCGGTGCGCTGGGCCCCGCGAGCGAGCCGCGTCCGGCCCCCCACCTCTCGGCTGCGCAGCCCGCCCGGCCCCGGGGCTCTGGCGAGTGGGCAGCGCCCCGCGCTGGCGACGGCGAGGGGAGGGGGCCGGCGGGGCGGGGACGGGCCGCGCGCTGGGGGCCCCCGCTCGGCCCCGGGGCCTCGTCTCGCTCTCGCCGCCGCTGCCGCCGCCGCCAAGCAAAGTTGCGCGGCGCCCCCTGCCCGCGCCGCGCCGCGCCGGAGGCTGAGCCACAAAGGAACTCCGCGCCCCCCTCCGCCCGCCCGAGCCGCGCGGGGAGGGCACCGGCGCCCGGCCCTAGGACAGCCCCTTCCCCAGCACGGGGGCTCCCGGGGCCCGGACGGCCGCGGCCATTGTCCCGCCCAGACTCCGCTCCCGGGTGGCGGTGGCCTGGGGACCCGGGACTGGCGAACCAGGCTGTTCCCGGAGCTGGGGGGTGTCCCTCCCTGGGAAACCGCAGGCTGGTGTGGCCCCCCAGGGTAGCCCCCACACCTGGTGACAAACGGCCGTGCTCAAAATCCAGACTAAGATTAATGTTATTTATTTTTGAAGAACAAGGACATGGAGCTGGGGGGTGTGTGCAGAAGTTTGCACAACCTAGGACACCGCTTCCTAGCCCTAGGCCTGAGCCTCAATGGTGGGGCGGCCTGGGGCTGACAGCAGTTCTCAAAGTCTATCAGAGGTGGCACCGGCTGTCCCCCCAGCTCCAGACCTCAGAGCCATCTGCGTGACTCCTCCTCCCGCCTCACCCTCCCCAGCCAATCAGTCACCAAGTCCTCTTGATTCGGCCTCGCGGGCTGTGTCAACTTCTAAACTTCACTTCTACCTGAAGAGGCGGACATTCCTGTCTCCAAACCGGCTTAGATTTCTGAATACTCTCTGCCATCCACCTGCAGGCCTAGAAGATCAAGGCTGCCTCTGCCCTCAGGAAGCAGCCCAGGGAAGGATGGACACAAACCATCCTGTCTTTTAGGAAGTAAACATTTAAACACTGCTAGTCGGCTGGGAGCACAGTTCTGAAGACTGGACAAAGTCCCTGTCCTCCTGCAGAGTCCAGTCTAGCACGGGATGTCACCCCTTGGAGGGGGCTGGAGGGTGGGACCCACATCAGTCGTGTTCCTTTGCAAACACACAGTTCCTGGAACAGGGCAGAGACACAAGAAGCATGTGACATGAATTAGCTGAAATAATATGATATTAAAAACACAGAGAAGGCCCCTCTTCTGGAGAGATGGGGGCTCTAGGGTGAGCCTGGTGGAGGAGAGAGGAAGGTCTCTGGCTTCCAGAACAAGGGTAAAAAAAAATTACTGGCCCGCCGGGCGGTGGTGGCGCATGCCTTCAATCCCAGCACTTGGGAGGCAGAGGCAGGCGGATCTCTGGAAGTTCGAGGCCAGCCTGGTCTACAAGAGCTAGTTCCGGGACAGGCACCAAAGCTACAGAGAAACCCTGTCTCAAAAAACAAAAAAAAAAAAAAAAAAAAAAAAAAAAAAAAAAAAAAAAAAAATACTGGCCCATGATTGAGGTGTTCTATGAGGAAACACACTAGCAAGTAACCAGAAAGATGAGACGAATCACCCATGCAGGAGAATGGGTGCTCAGGAAGGAGTGGGGGGTACACAGGTGTGGGGCTCACAGTGACTTTCTTTCAAGGAGCATAGTATGAGAAAGAGAAGGGAAAACGTGACGTCAGAGTGGAAAAATCTGCCAACTGCCACCGCAGCCGAGAGATGGAGGCCCAGCAGCAGTCATGAATCACCCTGGTAGTGTGGACACCCGTGATAAAAGCAACACCTCCTGGGGCTGGAGAGGTGACTCAGCAGTTGAGAGTGCACTCTACCCTGGCGAGGACTCAGCTTGGTTTCTACCGCCCACATCCAGTAGCTCAAAACTGCCTGTAACTTCAGCTCCAGGGGATCTGGCGCCCTCGTCTGGACTCCTCCAGATCCGGCACTCATGCGCACATCACCACCACCACCCCTGCCCGTAAGCATAATTAATAATAGTAAACATTCTTTTTTTAAAAGCAACACTCTAGGGGACGGAGAGATGACTTCCTGGTTAAGAGGGCTTGCTGCTTTCTCGGAGGACTAAAGTTCAGATGCCAGCACCCATGTTCAGCAGCTCACCCCTGCCTGTAACTCCAGGCCTCCCTGGCACTCCTGCACGGGTGCCTGCACACACGTTCATGCACACACACACACACACACACACACACACACACACACACACACACACAGATCTTCTTAAAAAGAGTACATTACCTCTGTGGTATGCCTACCTATGAGAAAAAAAAAAACATCAGACACTCTCCGCTAGTGGTGAACCAAAACACCTAGTTTACTTCTCAGACCTATCAAGATCATTAAAACAAACAAACAAAAAAACCTAAAAACAAAGAAAAACAAGAGCAGAGGCTGGAAAGATGGCTCAGAGGTTAAGAGGCTAACAGGTTAAGGTTGCTCTTTCAGAGGTCCTGAGTTCGATTCCCAGCACCCACATGACCACAACCATCTACAGTGGGAGCCAGTGCCCTCTTCTGCCATGCAGGCATACAGGTAGAACACTCATGTGCATAAATAAATAAATCTTCTTTAAAAACCAAGGACAGTCTGAAAGTCACAGCCTGGCAGAGCCTGAAGAGACATGTCACCTAAATGTAATGTGTGCCCTAGGTGAGGCCAGAGCAGAAAAACAGGCGCTAAAACAAAAGCGAGGATCTCCATATAGACTGTAGAATCTAGTTAACTATGGCACTGGGAGTATCTACCAATAACAGTGGGAAGTTGTATCACATAGTCATAGTGTGGTACTAACGGGGAGAGTGTGAGAGTATGTCGGAGAGATCCTCTACTATATTCTCAACGTTCTGGTAAATATAAAAATACCTTCAAAAAGCAAAGTCTAAAAAACTGGGTGTGGTGTTGTGTGACTTCAATCCCAGTATTCTGGAGTCAGAGATAGGAGGATCTCTGTGAGTTTGAAGCCAGCCTGGTCTACATAGCAGTTCCAGGCCAATCGGAGCTACACAGTGAGACCCTGTCTTGAATGAGTGAGAAATGAATATTAAGCCTAACAAGAAAAATAAATCCAGAGCATACTAATTATGGCACTGTTGAAAGGTTCAGCTCTCCTCTGTACTGGGTGTTCAAGGGCTCTTCGGAAGTGATGGTGTCATCATCACTGACCCGCAGAATAACCCCAGAAAAGGCACACAGCATTGGGGCCACAGATCAGAATACAAGACACTAAAGGCATTGCCAGCTGAGCTGGGGCCTTTAGAAGGGCTCTGTGGAGGATAGTCTGGCAGGTAATGCCGCCTGGCTCCTCCCTGCCCTGCCAGCCTTCTCTCTGACCACCCAAAAAGCGATTTCAGCCGACATGAGCTGCCATCCCGCCCTTGCGGCGTCCCTTTGCATACGTGGTTCTCTCCACCCTCTCTCAACAAGTGGAAGAACGAGGGGGGCAGCACACCTATGCACATCCTCTCCTGCTCTGCAAGTCTCCCTACTCCCCCTTAGGACGGCTTCTGTGACTGAGGCTGGTCCCCATTTCTCTAATTGGGACAGTGTAGTGTCTGAAACATTCTACCTGCTTTGTAGATGTGTTTGTTCCTTGAATCTGAGTTTAAGAAAAAAAAAAAAAAAAAAAAAAACAAAAGACAGGATCTCACTGTGTAACCCTGGCTAACCTGGAACTCTGTGTAGATCAGGCTGGCCTCAAACTCACAGAAACCTGCCTGCTTCTGTCTCCTGCGTGCTAGGATTCAAAGCATGCACCCTCATACCAAGCCAGGATAAATTGTTTGAAGAAGGAAATACATCTTACGTTGTCAATAATTCCGCACAGCTTCACGAAGAACCTACTCAGGTGTCTCATTCCAGAACCGAGGTTCTGCAGAGGCGGCAGAGGACAAACCCTGGTCCACAGTCAGACAGAACACAGTACTAGCCAGGATGTGTGGCAGTAACAAAGAACTCCAACCCTCAAGTGTAGAACGTAACAGCAGTTTGCTGCTGGCTTGTACCACATACCCGCATGGCCCCTCTGCCCTAGGCACCTCGGGCCTTAGACTGGCCCGTCACTGACATCCTTGAGCAGCACCCACTGGCACTTAAGACTGTCTCAATGACTGTGTGCATGGGTTTTCTACTGCTCTTGCCTGGAAGTGGCTCATACCACTGCTCAGCATTCATTGGTCCAGCCTAGTCACATGCCCTGCCTAACCACAATGGAGACTGGGAGATAGAGTTCCTTGTGAGAAAGAGAGGTAGGTGTTTGTGATGTGAGTGAACTCTCCAAAAGTCTGTTCCCAGACACAAGGTTAGCAAAGAATTCCCTTATTGATTATATGTAGGGCCCATGCGCACTCCAGAGGAGAGACCCCCAAGTGCCTGGGGACAGGGTAAGAGGTCATGGAGAACTTTCCAGAGGAAAAGACATTTCAGCTGAAAACAGGAAGAGAATAGTGACTCTAGGAGAGGAAATGGCACATGGAGGCCCAGAGCAAAGAAGAGCTTGTCACGGGGAAGAGGCAGCGGACCTGTCACCGATGGGGCTACTGTGACATGATGCCAAGGGACGATTGCTTCACGTGGGCCCAGGGAGGTGAGGGTTTAGGGTTTCAGTTTTGTAGAAATAAGGTTTTGTGGCAACATAACAATTCAGTGAAAGACGTTGTCTATTATGAACCCATGGCATGGTGTTGTGGACTCGAAATTACACACATGTGACCCTCGCAGGATAACCTTCTCCGGTAGGAGTGAGGGAAAGTCGCCAGAGCCCCATCTGAGACCCACTTCCTCCTGGCCCCTCCAAGATACATGTACTCCTGCCTGAGCGGCCACTCCAATAAAGCATTTTTTTTTCTTTAAATAAGAGCATCGCCCATGATGCAGAAGGGC